TTCCTCTACAACTAGATCTCGTCTGCAGCCTTTGAAAGCCCTCCTCTTCTTCTCCAGCCCAGACTTTCTGTAGCTGTCAAATCAGAGATTTCCCAATGCATCTCAATGAGAAGTCTTTGCAAGGCAGGTGCTCTGAGCAATTGTCTGCTTCTTGAGTTTAGCTCCATTGAGCTAATCAACCAGGAAGTAACAGGTCCGATTCTCTGATTGACAGCCAGGGGGGTGTAACAAGGTTAATGTATAAAATTGCCAGTTTGTATTGAAATCTGCACTTATGGTAATATATATATATATTTATTATTATATTTTTTTAAAGAGTACACACTCTGACAAGCTGAAGTGTTTTAGGTGTCTGGGGTGTCCCTTTATATTTGGGACTAAGGAAAATGTTATTTTAGGTTTTGTGAGGCGTTAAATTTAGGGTTAGGGGGTAAGGGGTATTTAGGACATGTAGTAATTGAAGGTTTATTTGCAAAGTACTCCCCCTCCTATGTCTTCTGTAGTCTAGTCAGCCTCCAATAATTGATAGTAAAATTGCAGGAGCTGTTATACATTATTCACCACTCACAGTTTCCCCTGTTCCCTATATGACACTTTCTTAGTTCATCCCTTCCTCTTTCAGTCCAGCCTCACACAGGCACTGTAGGAGCTGGGGCAGCACTGAGTTTTACACCCCGTATAACTGTTCCTGCAGCTCTGCTATTAATCATAGAAGGCTGACTGGATTAAAGATAACAGTGGTTCTCATATCAACCCGACTAGCTAGCCTAAGCTCCAAAAAGGCACATAAGTGTTGTAATTAGGCACCACCTACAGAACGTCTGCCTGTTTCTCTGCCTAATTGGAAATCTGGCCCTGTGTGTATGAGTGAATCACAGAGCTCCATCACAAAACTAACAGTAACGTGCAATATGTTACAGTGAATCACGGAGATTCATAATTAGAAAACTCATAGTAATGTGACGGGCTATTAACTTATTCTGGCAGAACTGATTTGAAGACACATCAGTTTCTGGTAGCACTTTGCTACAGACAATGAGATTTTTGCTAACATGCAAAACAAAAGATGACAGTACTTTTGCTCTGTTGTAACATTTGAGCAGGACTAGGCTGTACATCAGGTTAGCTAAAGATTGTCAATGAAAGGATTATCTTGAATATGTGTATCTGGTATGAGTGTCACTCTCCCATAATACACATTGTCTTTTTGTGGTTTTGCCCATGGGATGCTAGGAGAAATGACTGGGATTCTGTAGTATTGTGGAAAAACTTGTTTTTCCAGATATGTGCCTTTACAGTTCTATGGCATTGGCTTTCTATTGATTTAAATTCCCTTATATTGCATATAGAAAATGACTGTTTCTGTCTCTGACTTGATTATTTACTAAATAAATAATTGAGAAAGGAATAAAAGGATCTGCAAATGTCAACTTCTTATGGGTGGGGGTAATTGTTTAAACTGAAACTTACAATTTGCACTACGGGTTTGTTCCACTGTAATTAAAGGGTTTCTCTTTAAGTGCCCCTATATTCATTATTTATCAAGTTTAAAGGACAGAAAAGGCTTTCTTAATATCTTAGACATATACCTAACACAACATTAAGCGTGAATAAAATGTTAAAAACGGGAAACACAGCATTTTTCACAGTTTTGCCTATCCAGTTTTTACACATCCAGTGCAATTAAATGAAAAGAACGTAAAATAGACTCACATATCAGTCCTGTTTGTTAAATGCCTAATATTTGTTAGGGTTGGCTAGAGGATCTTCAGCAAGGTGAGAGGCAGCAACCTTACAAAGGCAAGACAGAGGGATAAATGGACATTCCTCTTCAACTAGATCTCGTCTGCAGCCTTAGAAAGCCCTCCTCTTCTTCTCCAGCCCAGACTTTCTGTAGCTGTCCAATCAGAGATTTCCCAATGCATCTCAATGAGAAGTCTTTGCAAGGCAGGTGCTCTGAGCAATTGTCTGCTTCTTCAGTTTAGCTCCATTGAGCTAAGCCATGGGTCCTCAAACTCCAGCCCCCCCCCCCAGATGTTGCTGAACTATAACTCCCATGATAATCTGGCTATCTATGTAATTCAAAGAATCATGGGAGCTGTAGTTCAGCAACATCTGGGGGGCCGGAGTTTGAGGACCCATGAGCTAAGCTAATCAAGCAGGAAGTAACAGGTCCGGTTGTCTGATTGACAGCCAAGGGGGTGTAACAAGGTTAATGTATAAAATTGCCAGTTTTATTGAAATCTGCACATCTTTGCGCCAAAGGTTGCCTACACTATCCATAGCCCTAAAACATCATTAACCCTTACTTTATCCTAATACTAACCCCAAGAAAATCCTCTACTAATATCAGTACTGCCTAGTTAAAACAGAAGTGAGCAGTATGTTGTTGCCATCTATTGGCTATTTTCAGTATTACAGAAAGATTTCCCTGTAACACTGAATCAAACATGCTTACTCATCCGACATCCACTTTGATTAGTGTTGGGCGGGGCCGGCCTTAGGCCTTTAGGTGCACTGTGCGAAAAATCTTTGCAGCGTCCCCCCCGCTCATACCTCTTCACCCATGTATATTGTGTAGTGTTTGTATTGGGGATGTAGGTGTAGTTGTAGGGCAGAGGCACTCTAGGAATAGTTGGGGGGCAGGGGCACTTTAAGAGTAGTTGGGGCAGTGGTGCTGTATAAGTAATTGGGGCAGGGGCGCTGTATTAGTAGTTGGGGGCAGGGTAGCTGTATGAGTAGTTGGGGTAGGGGCACTGTAAGAGAAGTTGGGGGCAGGGGCACAGTAGGAGTAGATGGGGAGCAGGGGCACTGTACAAGTAGTTGGGGCTGGGCACTGTAGGAGTACATGGGGGCAGGAACACTGTTGGAGTAGATAGGTGGCAGGAGCACTCTAGGAGTAGTTAGGGGGCAGTGCACTGTGGCAGTAGATTGGGAAGCAGGGACTCTTTCTTGTTTCCCTCTCACTTACCAGGCTGCTCGCTTAGCTCCACTCCACCATCTTAGCTCTACCCCGCCGACCGCTTAGCTCCATCCCCACTGCCTTTACTGATAGACCCAGGTAGAGGATAATGAAATCCTCCACTCAGGAGCAGCCACGCTACATAGCGCAACCACACCTTCATCCTGGGGTTTACTGTTGTGAGCAAGAACACTGCATTAAAACATATGAGGGTTTAAATTGCCATAAAGAGCAGTAAACAGTGCTTATTTTGAGCTCTGTATACCATTAATCTGCAGGGACACAAAAAAAACCTCAGCTGACAGAGGGAAGCCCCAGGCATTGATTGACACCTGGGACTCCCTGGTGTGAGCGGAATGTAAGCCTGCTCACACTAAAACTGCAGGACATTCCATTAACAGCGTTAAAGACCACTCTATAGATGATGGCATGGAATGCCAGGAAGGGGTTAAGCTACAATAGCAAAGCTGGGGCCGAGCCGGACCGCCATGCTGGCTAGTCGCATGCTCAACAGCTCCTGCCATAAATCTGCAATAAAACTGTTAAAAAGCAAGTGTCAGACTCACTTTATGCCTAAAAGCAATCAGCAGAGACAGGAGCAGCTACCAATACGCCTGTGGAGCTTTGGGCTGGATCTTGCGTGGAGTTGGTGTATCCGGAGCTTTCGACCAACTCAAGCGAGGGGTGAGGTGGACGGCCGCCGCCTTACCTACCTGCAGAATGCCACAGGACAGCTCCCTGAGGCATCATCTCCTCTGCCCCGTTTTCCACCCTATGGACCAGTGGGGGTTATCCCGGTCCCCACTGACTCAACGCACATACCTCTGCTGATCCTTGCAACAGAACGCAGATTGAGCCTAACAGATGAGGACACGATGGCGGACAAGCTTCTCCCATTGGAGTGCACACCCACGCAGCCTCACAGAAACCATCATGATATGATGATGGCATCGACCACACCGCAGGAAGACCATGCGCCGCAGGCTGCAGAAGAACACCTGGGTCTCATGGAGCCATCTAGTCTGGCCCACAGATGCCACCCTCCACACAGGCCTGTGGCTGAAGGGGGACCTCAACTTGCCCGCTACGCACCGCTGTATTATGCAGCCTCAGTGCCCCTGTGGCTCCTCCGCTGAAAATAGGCATTGGCTGAATATGGACTGGCCGATTTGTAAACTCTCTCCGCTCTCAATGAGCAGGTTGTACTTGACTTTGCCATTGTTAGCCCTAAGGGCCACCATACCAGGGCCACTCTGCGTTTACACATGCTTAGGAGATATGCTTGCAAAGGGGTACAGAGTCTCAACACTTCTAAATTCCAGTGGTATACTCAATGACCTAGCAGGTTATGCAGCATTGCTAAGCATAATATTACCCATGTCTACCTAGTTCAGTTTAAGCCACGGAATCTGCTTTGTCCTCAGTTGCGACCTGTTCCTAACTTGTATCACTTAAATGTATTTAAGTAATAGACACAAATGCCAAAGCATGCTGTACTCCGCTGTTACTTCTCCTAGCATTTGCCAATACGCTTGACATAGATGTTGCTCATGTTTCATTACTTTTCTTTCAACAAAAAAAAGTGCATGTTATATTCCAGCCATGATTGTATATTACCATGTACGACTTTAAGCTATTCGATCATGCTGTATGATTGTTATCAAGTTATGCACAATAAAATAAAGATTGACAAAAAAAAACAAAAGCAATAGCTAAGCCGCAAATGCTGAACAGGAGAGTTTAAAAAATTAATTAGGGATGTGCATGGGAAAAATATTTGGTTCAGTTCGGCATTCCGAAATTTGGGACTTTGGCACTTCGGTTCGACACTTCGGAACTTCACTTCGGAACTTTGGCACTTCAGAGCTTCAGGTAAGTGTAGGGTTAGGGTAGGGTTAGGGTTAGGGGTAGGGTTAAGGTTAGGGGCAGGGTTAAGGGTTGGCTTAGGAGTAGAGTTAGGGTAGGGTTAGGGCTAGGGTTGGTTTATGAGTAGAGTTAGGGTAGGGTTAGAGGTAGGGTTGGTTTAGGAGTATGGGTTAGGGTAGGGATAGAGTAGGGTTAGGGTTAGGGCTGGGTTAGGAGCAGGGTTAGGAGTAGGGTTATGGTAAGGTTAGGGGTAAGTTTAGGGGTGGGGTTAGGAATAGGGTTAGGGTTACCCTACCCTACCCCTAACCCTACTCCAACCACTAACCCTTACCCTACCCCAACCACTAACCCTACCCTACCCTACCCTATCCCCTAAGCCTACCCCAACCACTAACCCTACCCTACCCTATCCCCTAACCCTACCCCAACCACTAACCCTACCCTAGCCCTACCCCAACCCCTAACCCCAACCCTCTCCTGTTTTGCCACTTTTCAGAAATTCGAAGCACTGCGGCACTTCGGAAATTCGGCATTTCAGCAATTCATTTCTTCATTCCGAAATTCGGCACTTCGGACATTCGGAAGCATCCAAATGTCTGAATTTCCGAAATTCGTCTGAATTTGCATTCAGAACTAAACGAATTGCAGATGTCTAAAATTCATCAATTGTGGTCTAAAATGTACAATTTCCTTGTCCGATCTTCACAATTCATGGTTAGTGATATATTTTTCTTATATCTGATTGATGTTAGCATTGGAACGACAAAGTACGACATAAATGTCCTTGCAGAAATCTATTTTGAGTATACAAAATTAACTTTTTTATTTCTAGTCAGTTTTATTGTCTTATAAATGTATTCACCATACCCTTTAGTAATACTATTCAAAAGTATGCAGGTGTTCTTTATAAAGAAAGAAAAACGGTAAAATGTGTTTAATATTTATTATTCATAAAATTAAAATATTGTAAAATAATATTGTAAGCACATAAAATCAGATTGCCATTTTGGAGTTAGGAAGAAATTTTCATCTTTTTGAAAACAAAATTGTGGATTGTTGGATTTTATCTTTTTAAAGGATCGACACCAGCAACATGGATGCATGAAAGGTTAAACATGACAGACAAGGTTTTTACAGAAGGTACAGTGTGGCAAACATAGCCACTTGGACACTATAAAGAGACTGTGCCTTTAAGGATTGCCTATATGGTTGTGGGATATGGGCTTAACTATGTTGAATGTATGCGGGTTGTAATTTACATGTATTTGTTGTATTGGCTATCTGCCGAATGCAGATAGCTGTTTGTATTGGATTTTTCTTTCGTTTCACGAACGGCACTTTTGCGGGCCGTTCGTGAACCGAAAACACCCCCATGTAGTAGCCCACACACTTAGAGGCGTGTGGCGCTTGTTAACCGATTGCAACAATGTTGCAATCGGTAATTAGAGGCTCTCCTAGGTGGCCGCCGTTCGACTACCGACCATGCGGCGGTCGGCCATCTTGGGTCCTTTGTTCCCTCAGCGGTGTTAGGTCGTCGAGCGCATGGTACTAAAAACGGCTACTCGACGGCATGAACACCGCTGAGCCTCCAGGCCGTTCGGGAGTCCCGGGCCGTTCGGTACTGTGTTCCCTGGAAGGCAATCGGTCATTTAAACATGTATTTTAATAAATGTGTTTTTCGTGCGGCGTTCGGTTGTTTTAGCTGGGATCTGAGCGGTAATCTCACGAACAATGCGCTCAGACCCCAGCTATCTACCGAACGTCCATTCGTGCAAATAGACCGTATATTACCACAGTTATGCATTTTAATACAAATTGTCGGTTCTGCTGCACGGAGGGATAATCCACTTAACGGTACATTCCAGTGGGAGGATCCCTCTCGTGCAGCAGTGCCTGATGGGATAAATGCCCTGTATTGTAAGTCCCCCATGTAGTCCCCTCTGGGAATGCCCCTGGGAGGGGACTCAGGAATCCCCTTGCATGGGGACTTGTATAAATTGTGGAGCTGAAAATAAAGACCTCAGTTGACTCTCAGAACTGTGTTTCGTCCGGTTACTGGGAGGTTTGGGATATTGCCTTGTTTTTTCCAGCGCTTGACTGTGGATTACGTCCTGAACCAGCGGAATTCGTGGATTTAATATTGGCGTTCCGCTACATACAGTTTTGTGTATATTTTTTATTTCCTCTTATACACACAGATAGATTAATACTACATTTTTTGTAATATATATGCTGTAACATTTAATATATTAGCATGTTTATGGTGAAATAATATGTTTGTAATACAATGTATACGATGTAGAGTAGATTATTGTTTAACGTGATATTTAAACAGCAAAGAAAACTTCAAAGCTCAAAAACAAATACACAAAATTAAAAACGTTATTGACATTGACAATCCAGATAAGGATCACAATACAGAGTTTAATGGGACACTCCACTGCCCAAACAATCACTGTATGATAGATTGGAAGGCTTGTCCTGAAGTTGTGGGAGGGGCTATGTACCTTTAAAAGGGACTCCCCCCTCTTCCCTACATTACTGTGATTGGTTCCAGATGTACTGCTGGCCCACCCTCCACTCAACTCTATCTTTATAGCCCTACCGCATACGTCAGCACACCTCAACCGACTTTGCTTATTAAAGGTAGATGACTTAATCTCTATTTCATTTCATTACTGAAATGGCCCCGAACACAAATATACCTTAAATGACAGCATGCATGGATTTAATTTTCCATTTTTTCATTGCGGGTATATTTCAACACAGCTTGCAAAACCTGTATTTCTCTTGTCTGTAGCCTTTGCAATCCTTCCCATACTAACCACACCCAGACTTTCTGTGGCTGTCCAATCACAGATTTCCCAATGTAGCTTAATGAGAAGTCTTTGCAAAGCAGGTGCTCAGGGCAATTTCCTGCTTCATGAGTTTAGCTCCACTGTGCTAACAACCAGGAAGTAACAGGACCTGTTGTCGGATTGAAAACCATGGAGGTGTAATCAGGTTAATTAATAAAAGTGTCAATTTCTATTCAAAGCTGCACTATTTTCAAAATGAAAAAAGAGGACACACTCTTTACATATATAGCTTTTTAACAAGCTAGTGTGCTTTAGGGGTCTGGAGTGTACCTTTAAGGGACAAAGGATTTTTTTTTACAAATGTCAGGTCCATAGATATTTACACAGAGGCTTGTGTGTCTATGTCAATAACTAGCATAAGCTATATCTTTGGCATTCCCTAATGGATTCAATGTCAATTGTTAGCACGCATGCCATCACATAAACTAATATTAAACTAACATGATAATGAGAATAATACAACTTACCAAAGATTATAATACTGAGGCTATTGCGTTGATGTTTTATTATATGTGCTAGAAATGCAAATTCCCATTTCACTACACATCTGGTTTTTAGTGACTGTTTAGTGTCACTGCTAGTGGATGCTAAGAGGGAAATAGATTTTTCAGCAGATACGTCTTATTTTGGTGTAGGCTTGAGAAAGACACAAAGGGATCCTCAACACACTCTCAGGTCATCTTGGTTTAGATTTATCGGGAAAAACACAAGGGCAATGTCTTTGTCAATACCTGGGCTGGATGTTGTCCTTCTCTATACTCAAAGATATATATATATATATAAGGTTCATCTTTATCAAAAGTAGATTTAAAGAGGAATTCAAAAAAAAACACAGAAAAAAAGCAAAACACTCTTTAATAGATGTACTTTGATACAAAGAGTTAGATGTGCAATTTGCGGCAGGGTTTTAAACAGTGTAATGTGTTCCTTCAATATAGCTTTTCAAAAAGAATCTCAATAAAGAGAGACATCTTATCAGCATACCAGCTGTTGCACATAATGCTCTACCAGTCTGGAAAAAAACATGATATCTGTACTTTCAAGGTTGGCTATCACTACTACAAATATCAAACATTTTATTCTACACCCTCAGTGGTAATGAAACAGTTACCAGCATTCATATATCCCAGCTGCAATGAAAATAACAAGTGTTTGCAACATTCCACATGGCTAAAAGTTCACAGGACCCACAAGTAGAAGCACTACAGCTATGGAGAGGAAATTGCTGACTTGCCATTGGCCACGATATATCCCTTTCAGATGTTAGCCCAAACAGTTAAAAACACAGTCCAGCTTATTTCGTTTGAAATACCAGTTTCCATTTTGTATGGAGCCAGCGGTGAAACTAATGCTTTCTTTTCTTGGAGGGTTTACAGCACAGTTGAAACTCAATACCACGTAGCAAGCATGAGACTATTTCTGAATCTCTAGCTGCTGAATTGTACAAAAATCAGGGCCCAGGGTATTTTGTTTAGATGAATCTGCTGATGCAACAAATGACCGCCTACAACAGTGGCTTTGCAGAAGCAGACAATACCATAATCCCTATTTTAATATTAATCAAAGAGTAATGGTTGTGAAAAGAAGTCTCTATGTAGGTACTTGTTTTGACGAAATAAGTATTGTTTACAATTCCATCGCAATAGTTAAATGGCTGAGAATTATATGCACAGACAGAGCACAGGGACCTTGGGGTAGTTAAATACATGTAATCTCTCAGGGGTATAATTAACTTCAGATATCTCTAGGTAATCACAAACACACACTATCAAAACACACAGATTTATTATCCAACAAGGTGGCTTAAATATTTGATTTAACTAGCTGAAGATGACCTGAAATAACCAGTAGAGCTCTCTCTTTTACCCTCTGTTTGTCTGTTTAAAAAGGACTGAGGTTTATGGCTCTGGAAGAAAAAAAAAGTGTCAATGTATGTTTGACCCTTGACACAACTTTATACCCATAACTGCAACCTGTCAGAATTCCTGACTTGTATATACATATTCTTAGGGCCACGCTGACTTGAGCTGTCTGTTTTACAGTCTATGGTGTTTTAAAACTGCAGTTTTGTACAATGGGCCAGCACAATATACAAGTCGTTAGTGATGTCACGCGTGTCATAATGTCAGAAGAAAAAGTGATGGGAGAGACCTGCTCACTGGAGTTTGGTGCCTAAAGGAACAAAGGGCAGTCTCGGAATAAAGGTTCACAGGAATGCAATCAGTATTCCAGCATATATGTTATTTATGTAAGTGTTATATTGCTAAACAGATTGTTGGTAGTTGCAGTATGGCAGAGTGGGTCATAGGATTTAATTTGTAAAATCCTTGATAGATTGCTTATAGTGTGGCAATTTTCAAAATGTAATTTCAACTATAAACACCTGCTAAATTACATCATATGAGCAAACTATGCTTCCACATTGCCTTTATAAGGTTTGAAATGTGTACTTTTACATGGTATGCCCAACCTATACAATTCCCCATTAACTCGGCCAAGCTCCATTTATGGGGGGGAAAAATGAATAGAGCTATTCAACAAATCAATGGAAGCTGCATACATTT